AAAAAATAACACGCAAAACCCGTTTATGGTCATACAAAAACAATGCAAAATGCGGTCATCCAAAATTATTGAATTATTTCACAATCATACACTTCACTGTATAGAAAATCCATTAGTGCGATGCTGAACTAACTGAAAACTAATAACATTTCAAAACATCAGAATAAATAACACGCAGTCCTGTCACTAATAGTGAACTGGCTATGTATATGCACCATCATATTTGATAATTATCAATAACATGTTTTGTTTAGTGTGAATTCGGTGTTACATATGTAAATAGTGTACTTTAATCCGCACCGACTGAATTGAAACATTATTTACGGTTATCGATTCAATTTTGTTGGTTTAATATCCATTGCACGTTTGGCACAGATGTTGGTATCGATAACTCGAAAAATTATGTAATCTCTGATCGAAGAACTTTATCGAAAGATATAAAGAATGAATGATATATTCAAAAATTGAAAAAACACGCTTAGATAGCAACACAAACTGAGTTCTATGGCTTGATGTAACTAACCTGTAAATTAGGTATCATTGGAAAAATCCAACCTCGAGTCCGGCAGAGACCCGGACTGCCGAAAGTTGCCTCTGTTTGGAAAATATTGAAACAGAAGGCAATATGCATTATGCCTGCCCTGCTGCGGACCAAATCAGATTATCAGAGTGTGGCAGAGCCATACTTTTACTATCTGACCTGTGTAAACTAATCGGCTTCGTTAAGAAGCTGTGTCTATTTGGTCGAGTTTCAATAGGTGTGAGTCACAATCAACCCTTGCGGTTTGCGGTGGAGGGTCGAATAGAACCACTCACTTTCGACCTAACCTTGTCCCAGCGGATCGCTAGGGAGACAATGAAAATAATGAATCGCTTGTTTATTAACACATTATAACTCGTACTACACTGATCTCAAATCGAATCTCAACAACGAAAAAGATGGAAGCATATGCAGAACACGTCTAATATCGTTTACGATTTGCAAGTGCATCGTAAAGAGCTTGCACACTGCATCTTGGATTCAATTTCATTGCCGATATCTTCTTCGCGATACACATACAAATTTTCCAACATAAAATTTTATACGACTGGCACCTTATGGCTGACGCATCCAATTTTTATCTCTCAGATAATAAATTATCTTTGAAGTGACGTGAATATGTCACAGTACTTTGATAATATTCCAAAAGAAGGTGGCAATGCTTTTATGCTATGAGATGAAATTGGAAAATTCATATCCTAGTAGTAGGTTTCAATGCCATCCTCTTTTTCGTTTCGTTAAATTCAGTATTCATGTGAAATCAGTTGTTTGGAAAAGTGTTTCATTTTTTGAATTATATCTGGAAAAAACTTCGCTTGATCTAGAAATCTTCATGATTGTTTTTCTTTGAGAGTTCATTGTTTGATGATGCGACGTTTATGATGAATCAAAACAGCTCCTCAATGGTTATACATATCAAGATAGTTCTAAACATAGCTTTTTCTGGAATTTTCATAAACCTACTGAAAAATGACCTCACTGTATCCCAACCTCAAGGACCATCTACACCCACAGGATGAATGATAATTAGCTTTTATCGTAACTAGAAGTAATGAGCTCTATATCACAACATTCCACCTGAGGTTTTTTTTTCAGGTATGAGATGGCACCGATATCGTTCAGGAATGACCAGCTTTCTTTTTCAACTAAACGGGTTTACGAGGCATTCCCTTCACCACATTTTGGAGGTGAGATATCATTAGATCCGAGGAATTCATGGTAACAGAAGAATTTCAATGGGTATTTTCCGCACTCACAGGGTATCCGATAAATGGTATCCTATATTGTATCCTATATTGGCCATTCAATGGCCTCTTAGTTTCACCAATTTAGGATTTTCCGCACTCACAGGGTATCCGATAAATGCAATTCTTGGAATAGCAGTCCGCTTTTGGTGGCCTGGTTTTCGTGAGGCCACCAAACGCGGACTGCGATTCCAAGAATTGCATTTATCAGATACCCTGTGAGTGCGGAAAATACTATATTGGTGAAACTAAGAGCCCATTGAATGTTTGCATTGTCGAGCACAAGAAACACACACACAACGAGGGGAAACCAGCATATCAGGAATGGTAGACCATGTTTGTACCCACCAACACAACATCGACTGGTCCTAAGCTGAGATCTTGCACAGAGAGGAACATTGGTTTAGGAGAAAATTCAAGGAAGCCGCATACATGTTGTCGAACAACGTATTCAGCCAAGCCAGCGTAGAAATACGCAACATATGGAAACCCACCATCAAGCGAAAAATGGCCAACTACCGCCAAAACGGTCATCTCCCACGGAACCAGTCGAATCAAAACGTCGTGAACTAACGTGACTTGGAATCTCTCCACTTTTTATTTTTATTTTATTTTTTACATTTATTTATTTTTATTTATTCAATTGTTCTATTTTTACTTGTAGTTTATTTCACTATTATTTCATTTCAGGTTTATTATGGTTAATAAAATTGTTAATTTCAGCTTTTCATTTTCAATTCTTCTTTTTTAGTTGTTTCAGAGATTTCAAATCATTTTATATAGTAGACAATGGAAGTCCGAACTAGTGAAATTCATCATGAAACATTGTCAATCACTTTCAAACAAAAAGTTGTTTAATGACTATATAATTTTCGAATTATTTCATTATTTCTATTTTATACAATATAAACGTACATTTTTGGAGACGGCAAATTCATCGATCAACTTAAGTTGTGTCTGATGGTGAATTAATGATAGTGTTACTATTTTGGGAATTTGTGGGGCAGTATAATTGAAGGACCTTCGTCCCAATCTTTTCTGTGCTCGATATATTTTGGTGATGTGTTCTTTCTTGTACCGTGTCTCATATATATGGGAAATGTTCTCTGCTGGAGAATCAGTACCTCATATACAGGATGTTCATCAAACATGTAGAAAAAATTAGGGGGGCTATTCCTTGGACTATTCTAAGGATATTTTGTCCTATGGTGATTTTCGATAGGCTGCTTTGTTTCGAAGATACGGAGCGAAGAAAAATTTCGACAATAACACTTTATTAGCAAAAATTACATGCGATGTTTCTTAATCTACAAGAACTGTTGAGAATGACTACCGACCGCTCGGATGCAAGAATCCAATCTTCTCCTTATCTACTCCCGAACTCTTTCAAAAACACCAGAATCGTTTCTGACTGCGGTACACCCAGCAATTACCCGATTTCTTAAATCTTCTACATCTTCCACTAGAGTAGTATGAACTAATGACTATAGGTGGCCCAATATGATATAATCCAAGGGGTTTGAGTCCAGTGATCGAGCAGGCCACAAGTGAGGCCCACCTTGACCAATACAGCGACATCTGTATGTTACTGTTAAAAACTCCCAAGCCAATATGCTAAAATACACTGGTACACCATCGTGGATAAACCACATTGCTTTTCTTGTAACCAATGGTACATCCTCCAGAAACCGAGGTATCGTTTGTTTCAAAAAGTTGCGGTATACCTCACCGGTAAGTCTTTTTGGCAGAAATACCGGTCCAATCAGGAAGTCACCTACAATTCCCACGCAAACGTTTAACGAGAACTCATGTTGAAAGCGATCTTCAAGCATCTCATGTGGATTTATTTCAGCCCCAACATGGTTATTGTGACATTTCTTGAGAAACTGGCTTCATCGATAAAGAGAATAAGCGTCAGAGTTGAGGGTTATGAATCAATGTGCGCAAAAGCCATTGACAGAATACAATACGTGGAAGAAAATCTGCAGGAAGAGGTACCTGAATTCATTGTATGTAGTATGAGTACAACAAATAGTCTCTAAGAATGTTCCAAATCGTCCCGGTACTCACATTTACATTGTGGATCTTCTCCTATCATTGTCAGCACATTCTCTTCTTCTTCTACCGTTCTCACTGTCATTGGCCTTCCTGGTCCTCCATTTCGCTGCTTCAATGCTCCTGTTTGACGAAGTCGTACACTTGGGAATGTTTTTCTATTAGGCAAATTACGATTAGGAAATCGTTCACTCTACAACCTTCTAGCTTCCAATGAAATGCCATCAGCAAGTCCCTAAATGAAATGCATGTCAGTCATCTCTGAGTTACTATAGCCATTCATGATAGAGAACCTCACTATCAAGGCTTTGAATATCAAACACAGAAAATGACAAAGTGAATCATTTTCAACCTATTTGACATATACAAATGATCACTTACGAGACATACCTTCCAAATTGAATGTCTGCAGCCGTTTGTAGTAATCGGAATGTTCTTGGTAGGTACCAACGGAATTAATAGATTTTTTGTTACTTGGTAGTGGTAGCACGCTATATTTTTATTTCTTGGTTTTGTTCTTGGTAGTGGTAGCACGCTATATTTTTATTTCTGCTACTTTATTCATTTTAAAATCACCAAATTTGTTATTGTCGAAGTTATTTGTCGCCCTATCAAAAATCATCAAAGGACAAAATATTTCCAAAATAGTCCTAGGAATAGTTTCTTGGTGCCGCATGTTCAATGAACACCCTGTATATAAAGATTTCTCTGGTAGTTTTCATGAGAGCATCTATAATTCATATTTTATATTGCTTATCGGTCTCAGAACAAGTTTCAACTTATACTTACGGAGTATTCCTTTCAAATTCGAATCTTTTGAATTTTTCAATGTCATTTTATTGTGTGAATGAATTGTTAGGATCTTATCATTATTATTTTTATACGATGTTATCAGAAATAAATAAATACTTTCGGCTGTGAAAGTTTTTCGTTGCTTCTTTGATTATCCGTATTGAAATTATAATGTTATGAAAAAAAATAGAACTTGTTTCTAGTGAGTAGTGTGACAGCTTTGGCAAAATACAAAAGAATTACTTCTCGAGAAAACTTCATTCAAACAATGAACTGCTCTCTTCAACTCTTCATGATTTCCCAATTGATTCAGAATTTTCCACATCTGTGCCATACTTTTTAATAACGTTTCAATAATGAATTCTTACCTGAAATTCCGTCGTAAGTCCACCACTCCTGCCAGTTGTCACACCCCACTGCAACAAAAAATATGATTACAATTCCACCCCGAATTTCATTAACTTCGCGCCCATCCGGAATATCTCAAGGAAAAGGGTGCGAACGACGAAACCCCGATGTTAAACCGAGATATCCAATAAAAAACATCGTTTTTACTGATGTGAGTAACATTTGCCGTGGGAGAGATCTGAAAACTTGGTGGATTCTTATATTACATTTCCCGTTGTTTTTCATTCTGTCAATGTTCTGACTCCATGAATACTGGAGAGTCACTTCAGACATTCTAGTTTGAGAGAAAATATTATAAAATGGTGCTGTTATGGTTTCAATTGACAGACACATGAAGTTCATAGAAGATAATTTAAAAAATTGAATTGATGATTTTTCTAATTTGTCACGATTGTATGATAGTTCTTGGATCTGATAATTTGGCAAAATCAATTCATTTTCAACAAAGTCGCATGCTACAAAAGTAACCAAATTGTTGACGCTCGTTTCACCAACCAAGTTGACGTCTTCAGGAGATGGAGAAAAGAGTTTAGTTGGTGAATGCATCGGAAATAGTACGGCATTTCTGGTGATTGAGAAGAGTACTTATTAGGACAGTCTTCACGTTGTCGAAATTGAGTCTCCTGAATAAAATGTCATTATAAATACCTTTTTTCATATTTCCTCACCTGGAAAATTCAAATTCATCATGAATCCTTTTCAGTCTGAAATTTTGTTTTCACTGAAAAAGTTTAATAACGAAAATAATATATTCAACGAAAGTCATTTTTTGTGGAGGAAAAAATCAGTTTTTTATCGACCAGTAACTAATTCAAATGTTGGTACTATTTTTGGAGTTACTGAGAAATTCAGTCCTTTGCCCATTAGTGATTTTTCATGAGTATTGAGAATTTTGGATGACAAGTTAACTACAGTTTTTTTCTGTAAATTGTTGGTTATTTTCTTTATTACTGAAAAAACGTGTTTGTTTTTCTTCCAGATAAAGGGTTCCCCTTTATCTCCCATCTTAAGTTGTTACTTACTTAAGTTGTTATATACTCCATATATATGTTATATGGAGTATTTCGAAGAATCTTTTGTTGAAACTTATCAGAATGGTCCCAAAGTTTGGTGGAGATACGTTGACGATATTTTTGCTGTTTGGTATAGAAACAATGATGATCTGAATATTTTTTTGAATTATATCAACGAGCGGGAGTCGACAATTAAATTCACAATAGAGATTGAACAAGATGGTCGACTCCCTTTCCTTGATGTAATGTTGGAGAAGTCATCAGATCAATTCGATATAAATGTCGGAAGAAAACACATACAAATAGATATCTCCACTATACATCAAATCATCATGCGAGTGTTAAAAAAGGTATAATGAATTGCCTTTACAAAAGAGCTAAAATGATATGCAATTCAACTGAAAATCTCAATAAAGAAATATCATTAATTGAATCTGTTTTGAAAGATAACGCTTATCCAGATTCTTTCATAAATTCAACGATAAATTCAATAGAAAAGAGTCAATTAAAAACCAAACGAGCATACAAACAGCTTCACAAATTCAACAACACCCAACTAAACAATTACCGACTCAACATCCAACGACACCTTTTACAACTAACGTTATACCTTACATTCCAAGACTATCTGAAAAAATAAGACGAATTGGAAATAGATATGATGTTAGAACTACTTTCTCACACATACAAAACCCAACAAAACTGAAGAAAAAACAAAAAATTGTATTTATAAAATACCTTGTTCTTGTGGTAAAAGTTACATTGGTGAAACCTCAAGACCATTGAAAGTGCGTGAGAATGAACATCGAGATTATATAAAAAATAGACAATTGACAGGATCAAAATTATCAGAACACATTTTAAAATCAGACGGTGAACATCGGGTGGAATGGAAAAGGACAAGAAAGATTACCAATGAGCCTCATTCTAAGAGACGTAAGCTAAAAGAATCAGCGTGTATTCTCATGTCTGGAGAGAATTGTATCTCGAATAGCTCCTTAGAAATAGACCGTACTTGGCTACCCATCTTGAAGAAAACTTTGGATAGTGGCGAAATGGCAACAAACTGATATCGGAGAGTACCTTGTATTACATCGAATGTTTCAGTTGTCAATAAACAACATACCCAATACCCAATTTCTCTGAACTATATTTGTGATGAAATCCAAATGTGGAAAAAATAGATCTCATTCTATTGAGAAAAAACTATTTTGATACGCCACGCTTCTACTGGTTACCCTGTATATTGAAAAATATTTCAGACGGAATATTTTTCAATATCTGTACAAGGTGTATGATAATAGCATTGAATCAAGAATTTGTTAAATCTCTTAAAATCAACTGAACTGAAATGTAGCAATGTGAAAAATCATAAAAATTAATGAAAAATACGGACTATTTTTAATGCTAAAGCGAAACATCATGATCTGTTTATTTTCCCTGTTTCTACAAAATTGTTCAAAAAATGTTGTTATTTATTCTTTGTGATCTGTTTATTTTTCATGATTGAGAAGTCTTTCATATTTTCCTGTTCCTTTTGTTGTACAACAAAATTCGAAATTTTGGCGAAACCGCTGGTTTTGTTCCTTTGTAGGTAGCTCATTATTTTTTGTTTCGCCATTTGGCCTCTTCAGTCAACAGTATTCGATCTAACAAACTGCCTTGTTTACTGTATATGGGAATCTTCCAGAACCTCCCAAGTTTGTTCTATTTTTCACAAAATGTTCCTTTCAATATTCGAATTTTCAAATTTTTTGTGACTGTCCAATACTCACCTAGGCACTTGTCCTTTCCTGTGAATAGCTTCACATCCCCTAATGTACATTCTTTCAGTCAAGAAAATTGTTTCACTAATTCGAAATTTCTGTCGGTTTCACTTGATATTATTCTATAAGACCTCAATTCATTATTTTCCTTTTATTTTCTCCCAATTATCATCATTCTGTGAAATTCGTCGATGTTCTGCGAGATAGGGGGAAACAAAAAAGCGATTTTACATGCTGTAGCCAATTCTTGTTGTAGTAATAAACCACCGCGGTGTTTGGACCCTCGGTAATATTTGATATTTTTTGTCGTCATCATCGCTTCCCAATGCATTCTTCAAAAGTTATTGTACCAGTATTTCTTAAGTGAGTGAATGAAATCCTGTATTCTCGATTGAATTCGGAGTTTTTTGCACCATCAACAATGTCTGATTGTCTAATTTCATTTGAAATCTCAGATGTCCGACTCTAGGCTTAATTTGTATGTTTGTGATGACGAAATTTGATTTCAATTCAACATAGCAACAAGCAATAAAGCATTCGTGTGTTAACATCAGACAGCGCCGTTTCGACCCACATTAGGCTCATCAGTGTTAGGCTGAACCATGACTACATTGTTGAGTTCAACTTTACTAGAAGAACAAGCCTGACAGGTGAAAGAGACGAGATCATTTTTGAAGACATCTAATCCTGATTATCTTGTTTATTTTTGATATTCGTGCAATAAGCCATTTGCCAATATCACAGATTGCATCTGTGGATGGTAGATTTCATAACCTTCATCTAAATCGACATTCCGTTGATTTTGTAATTGTGGGACAATCAGGATGGGTTTTATTTGGTAAAATATAAAAATGTTCTTGCACTCGTATGTTTTTTTTTCAAGGCGAAACACAAGAACCACAGAAACGTTATTCTTCATATGGAAGAGTGTTTAAACAGTCACTTGAAAACTTCCCGTGAAAGTATATATAGAAGAGAGATAAATCTCCAACCTTTTTTTGAGATCCCAGGCTATCAAGGTTAGACGTGATGTTTGGGTCTTCAATCAGGCGGATGGATGGCTCTTTTCTGGATGGAATCCAGCAGCTTCAGTATATGGTCAGGGGAGGAGCTGCATGCATAGAACAATAATCTGAAGGAGGTCTGTTCTGAGCTTTATCAAACATGAAAATTTGCTGATGTGTGAACAGTTTTCTGGTTCGATACAGCCTCTCAGCCTCAGCTCCAATTAAGTTTCTTCGTATGAAAGATCCTATCTTTCATCTCATCGAATGTTTTACACTTATTCGGCCACCTTGTAATGATGCTGAATGCTTATTTTCCTTATGGAAGATCCTATCTTTCTTCGATGAGGAATGACTTCCTTAAATGTTTTACACTTCTTCCGTTACACCCTTTATTACACAAAACAATGTATATGCCCAAGATTTCACTAAAAAATTACCTATCCTTAATTTCTAAAAGCACTTTCAGCCATTTTCCTACTCATCATTAACCTGATGTCAACACAGGCATCCATAATACACCGTGGTAGGACAATGATTTTGGATTATTACGGAGTTCTTGTGAATTTCAATATTGCCGTTGATGTTAATTAAATTTATATAGTTACTATGCTGTTGTGAAACTACGAATTTCATTAAGGATCTTCCGTTCGGCTTTGATAGCAATGTGATTGGCAGTATCACATACTCAAAACTGAATTCCTACTGAAAGGAAAATTCATGTCAAAGATTCCTCACATTATTACGGGAAAGATGGATGAACAACGATTTATTCAGAGTTTCGTGAACAACTCGTACTACATAGCAATTACCAGTAGAGTGATTGAAAAAAATAATTTCACTAAGTTGATATACATGGCTCATGTCATGCAATATTATCAAGGAGGAAAAAGGGGGATGTCGTCGCTTCCGCCTGTCAGGCTTGTTCTTCCACTGAAGTTGAACTCAAAAATGTATTTATGATTCAGCCCAAGTCCACAGATGAGCACTATGGCGGGTCGAAACGGCGCTGTCTGATGTTGACACACGAATACTTTTTTGCTTGTTGCTATGTTGAATCGAAATCAAATTTCTTTATCTCAGACTAACAATTCAAATCTGGAGTCGGACATCTGAGACTTCAAATGGAATTAGACAATCAGATACTGTTAATGGTGCAAAAAACTCCAACAGGAGTTTATTCACTCATTAAAAACATAATGGTACAATATCTCTTGAAGAATGCATTGACATCGACAAAAAATATCATTGGTAGTTTTTGTTGAATCTAGTTGTTGCAGAACAAAAAGTGGATAGTTGGCCACTGTCATTTCTTTACGAGTTATTTATTATTCAGTCATCCTTATTCACTTTGTTCCAACATGGTTTATTCTACTGATGAAAAAATAGAAATTGTTGCAACCCATTATCGAAATGATGAATGTGCTAAAGCTGCTGCAAGAATTCATAATACGAATCATCCAGACCACGACGTGAGCCATCAATACGTTAAACAGAAGACCTGCGACAGATTATTGTTCGGGAATGGCGATTTCTGACTCCGGCCATCTTCAACGATGTAAATCACGCTTTCGAAAGTAAACTATTATTATTTATTGTATGGAACTAGATGGATGTCATTTTGAACAGTTTATCCGTTCATTTTGTTGCCATTGATATTACTTTTGTTGATTTCCTCAATAAAATGAGCGGCAGCGAATTTTCAGTTTTTTCCTAAATCTAAAAAAATGAACTCTGAACGTTCAAGCCAGTTTCGAATATACCTACACAGTAGGTTGAATGGACTGACGCCTATCAGAAAACAACTACTTCCCTGGCTAATATCACGAAGGGTATTGGATTATATCCGACAGGCGTCAGTGCAGGAATCTTCACAAAAAATTTTCTGCATATGCAATTGGCAA